CCCATTCATCTAGTTTATCTTCTGCTATTTGTGCATTTTGGGTTATGCTTGATAATCTATTTATGCCATATATTACGGCCCCTAAATTTGCCCCTATTTTTTTTCTTGAGGAACATTATAGTTTTAGGTTTCTCCTTTAAGTCTTTGACCTACCTGGTGTTAGTTTTTGTGTTTGATGTGAGGTACAGATCTTGTTTCATATTTCTGCAAATGGATATCCAGTTTTGCCAGCACTGTTGTTAAACAAGCATTCTCTTCTCCATTTAATGGATTTTGGCCCTTTGTCAAAAATCAGCTGACTGTAGGTCAGTGGATCTATTTCTGGATTCTCACTTCTACTCTATTAGTCTATATGTCTGTCATTGTCCCAATACCAGGCAGTTTTGACTACTATGGCTGCAACTGCCTTTTAAGAGAAGCCCATTTTCCCTGATACATCTCTTCCTTCATTGCTACATAGTCATCTTCATCATGCTTGCCAGATCAGTTTCACTGGCATTCTCAGTGTCTTCAACCAACTCAGGGCCCCAGCAGCTGCACTCATAACCCTCTGCACTCTCATCATCCTCTGCACTCTCCAGTTCTTCATTCTCTATGGGGTAGTACTCTTGAGCTGGTGGTGCTCCAGCCAGGGCTGGGCCAAAGCCAACAGCCTTGTGGCACTCAAGTTGCTTCTGGCACTGAGAATTCCACATCCACCTAGCAGCGTCTGAGGGGGCCGCCAACTCAAGTAGGAACAGTAGTGCCACCTTCCGAGTCTCCACCAAGCCCATCATCATAGAGTTTTAAGCAGAAAAATAACACAAGCACTTCTTTGATTTAGAATTAACCCTGTGCAGCAATCAGGATAATTGGTAGGGAAAAGACTAGAAAGAAGGAGACTAGCTAGGAGGTGACAATTCAGGTAAAGAATAAAGGGAAAGTTTATTCCCTTTATTCAATGGTTGTTCCTTGGTGGTACAAATGGTTTGCACTCAACAGCTAACTGAACAGCTGGCGGTCTAAGCCCACTTGGCAGTGAACAGAAGGAAGGCCTGACAATCAGTTTCCATAAAGATATTGCCAAGAAAGCCCTCTGAAGCAGACCTACTCTGTAACTCATGGAGTATCCATGAGTCAGAATTGACTCAACGACAACAGGTTTGCTTTTTCATTTTTATGAGCAATGGCAGTAGTAGTGGAGAAAAGGAGGGGCTCTACAGGACACCCAGCTTTCTTCTTTTGGCAACAGAGAAAAAGCTAGTGGAGTGAAGAGAGAAGGACTATGATCAGAGAGAAGAGGTACCGGAAGCCAACAGCCCAGGCAGCTGGGAAGAGCCTATCAACAATATCAAGTGCCATGGAGAATCCCAGGATAATGAAAACTGAGGAGTGGTCACTGAATTTGACAACCAGGATGTCACTGCAGGGGATAACTAGGGGCAAGGATTTGAGGAGTGAATGGTTGATGAAGAACTTGAGATAGCAAACAGATACAACTGTTTCAGAAGTCAGCCTAGAAGAGAAGGGGAGAGGGAGTGTTTGGCCTGCCATATTATCCTGCTATATATAGCCTATGACTGAGTTTAAACGGGTGGGGAAGACAAGAAACACCATGCTTGCCCACCAGAGGAGCAAACCTTCAAGTCCCTCTCAAAGCTCCAGGCAAGGGAGGGCCTGAAGCTTCTCTGAGGACACAGCCAAAAGGGATCCCCCTCAGGAAGCTCTGCAGAGCTGAAGCTGAATGGGAATGGGGGAGACACCTTCCCTTAGGGTGTCCCAAGAATGAGTCAAATGCCCAGCTGTGTTAAAAGCAGGTGGAGGCACAGGGGACACTTGACAGACAGGTGGACAAAGAGAGGCCATTGGGATGATAGATCCAGACACCTCATCTCTTGGCACCCTACAGACACTAGCTGTTGCGAGACTAATTCTGACCCTCCTTGTCTTCAACTAGTTCTAGAGCCCTGACAAAGCCACGCAAGGGTGCTGAGAACCTGGGCAGAGACTGTCTCAGAGGGAGAGGGTCACTGAGGAGAGAGTTACCTGAGCAGAGGGGTCTGGCTGGGATGGAGTGGGATCTCTGGCTGACAGGGTTCCTCACGGTGCAGTGGTAGCTGTCACTGTCCCCGGATCTCCAGGAGACTTGGAGAGTGGTCCCTCCATGAGATACAATTGACCCCTGGCCATGGGGGTCCCAGCTGTACTGAACATCCTCTCCAGCTTGGTCCAGGGAGCAGACTAGGGTGATGAAGCACATCCCATCACTCATGTTCTGGGAGCTTACAGTGATGTTGGGTTTCTGCAGCTTCTCTGTGCCAAGAAGGAAATGCTCACTATGAGAAGGCTCTGGTCTGGCCAAGCAACAGCTTGGAAAGGAAAGTTCAACTGTGAGGCCCTCTCCCCCAACTCACCATAGACACGCAGGGTGAAATCCTTGGTGACATTCATCAGAGGAGTACCCAGAGTTATCTGGGCTCTGTAGAGGCCAGAGTCCTGCAGCCTCAGGGGGCTGATCTGGAGAGAGTAGCCAGGGTGGGGGATGTGCAATCGTTTTGTGTAGGGTCCCTGAGTCTCAGCAACCAGGACTGGTTTGCCTGCTGGTCCTGGTCTCAAGACAACAAGAAGCCCTCGAGAGCTCCATGTGACATTTTCCACCTTTTGCCCCACTGGGACCTCCAGGGGTAGAGTGGCTGACTCCCCAAGGGTGCCAATCACTGTCTTCCCCACTGTTGTTCCTGATCCTACACACAGAAAGGAAAAACCACAGACTCAGTGTCTCCCTATCCACTCTGGGCAGTGCAGGTCTGATAGCTCCATCACGTCCCTCCTGTCTAAACCCTTAAAGGTGATCCCTTTCAGCCTCCCTATCAGCTCTACCCCCAAGAGCACCTGCTCTGCATTCTGCCCCACATCCACCCACCCCTGGCCCAGCCCACTCCCTCAGGGGTGTAAATGCCCTCTTCCCATACCTGCACAGAAGTGTGGCACTGAGACAGGATAGGAGCTGCTATTGCTGACTGGGTTCTTGACCATACAAGTAAAGGTTAGTGAATGGTTTCTGGGCCTCAAGGAGATACTGAGGACAGACCCTCCATGGGATACAACAGTCCAGGGTCCCAGGGGCATCCAGCTGTAGGTCATAGGGCCTTCACTTTCTGCCACACAGGTCAGAATGAAAGTACAGTGTCCATTTTCACTCATCCTGGAGCTGAGAGTGACCTGGGGCCGGGCCAGCTGCTCTGTGTGTGGGGGAAAAAAAAAAAAAAAAAAGACTGAGGACTGCAGACTCCCTTCACTGGGGAGAAGGCACAGGCACTGCCGCCCATGACCCAGCATCATCCTGAATACATATGACTAACAACAGAGGCAGGACCTGCCCACATCTGCATTAGTGTTCCCACTTAATAACACATTATTCCTAGAACAACCTGGTATCAAACCAAAAAACCAAACTCACTGCCACTGAGTCGGATCTGACTCATAGCAACCCCTCCTTGGGTTTCTGAGGTGGTATCACTACGGAAGTAGATTGCCCAGTCTTCCTTCTGAGGAGTGGCTGGTGGGTTTAAACCACCAGCCTCTGGTTATCAGCCAAATGCCTTAGGCACTATGCCACCAGAGCTCCCACGAAGTAGGTAAGGCAGGTGTTATTATCTACTCCATTTCAGAGGCTCACAGAGCTTACTATAATTTGCCCAAAGTCTCATCTGTGAAGTGGTAAATCCAAGATCCATATCCAGGTGAGTCTGCCTCCAAAGCCTGGGCTCCAGCCGTGCATTGAAAATGGCTATATGTACTTTCAGCCGGTGGTGGTGGTTTGGTAAAACTTTCACCTTCCACACACTCCATGCAGGCTTCCATACTGCTATGACGCTGAACAGGTTTCACCTGAGCTTCCAAACTAAGGCAGACTAGGAAGAGAGGCCTGTTGATCTACTTCCAAAAATTAGAGAAAATCCTATAGATCACAGTGGTCAGATCCCCAGCCTAGCACTGGGATTGTACAGGACCAGGCAGCATTTCGTTCTGTTGTGATTGGAGTTATCATAAGCCAGGGGCTGACTTAAAAGCAGCTGAGAAAAACAACAACGTATGTATTCAAAGGTATGCTATTGTGCTATAATTAGATCTTTCCCTAGTAAGAAGCTGTAGTAAGTCTACACTGAGCTTTCAGATACTGAGCAAGGCTCCCAGAGGAAGTGGCCCTGAACCACTGAGGTTTCTCCCATTCCCTTGGTCCTCCACCCCACCCTTCTCTTCTCCCAAAATCATACCACCCAGGTGCTCTCCTAAAGGTATCCACATTGTTATTATTTGCCTGCCTATCTCCCCAGTTCACAGTCAAATTAGGGAATGGGAGGATATGGGGAGACGGCAAGACCAACTGCAGAGAAAACGGACAACCAAGACAAACTAACAAAATCGTAGAGCATGGAAGAAGGGTGCTCAGCCATACAGCTGATAGTGACGTCAGGAGCAGCTCAGTTGTGCAGAATAGGAGCCCACAGGCCCAGAGTGTCCCCTGGGAGAAGACCTCCTGGATTTCCTCTGCTGGGTAACTTTCTACTGCCTCACCCCAGGGTGTCTTCTGTAGGCCGGCCCTGGCATCCAAACCATTTTTTACTTCTTCTCCTCAGCAGCCCTTCTCTGATGAATATGGTGACATACCAGAAAGCCAAAGGGCCAGGGCACAGGGTGCAGGGTCAGGGTACCTGAGTTTGGTTCACTCAGCCACTTTCCAGCTCTGTGTCACAGGTATGTTATTATTTTTTTTCTCTCTCTGAGATTCCTAGAGAGAGCCTAGAAATAAAAACCTCTGTCCTGTCTGCAGGAAGGGCTGTGGTGAGGCTCAAATGACCTGGAAACACCCAAGGATAAGAGCCTGGCCCATTGTTATCAATGTGGCTGCTGGGCTGTAAGCTTGAAGGGTGCCTCTGAGGAAAACCCCACATGCTGACCAGCAAGCACAGCTTTTCCCTTCACAGACTGTAACCAGGCACCACTGCACACTGAGCCCATCCTGCCAGACTCACCCTGATGTCCATCAGTATGGCAAGGGACTCCACCAGCTCTGGGCCCACCTGAACGGACCTGGGTCTTACCCCAGGTGCCAGCAGATCTTGCTTCATCAGTGGATCTTATCCCATTGTGAAGAGCAGGCTATCGCCAGCCCAGGCCTGATTCATGGCCAAAATGCTTTCTCACCAATCATGTGAGCCCTGACCAGGAGCAATGCCATCATCTCCACAAAACAAGATGCCCTTATCTAATAGGAATCTTTCCCATAACACCACCCAAAGAAAATGTCTGAGAAGGTTCTCTGCCTTCCCTCCATCAGTTAGTTTTCTTCTTCACTCATCATCTATACCTTTCCTGCTTGCCTACTTTCACTACAGGGAATCACTCTGCAACGGCATCCTGATGACCTTGCACATATCCGCATAGATCATGTAGGCAAAGCCTTGAGCCACAACTAATTTGAGTCTTGACAAAATGCCTTGTCATTCTCCCAGAACACAAGAAGATGGGTGACTTGTGAGGAGCTACTGCAAAAAGCTACCTCAAGGCCATCTCCCAGTCACCTCCCTATCTCCTTTGGGAGGCTGTCATGAGACAGTTTCTCACCATCTCCCGGGTTGTAATGGGTATGAAGTTTTCGACTGTGTATATTATTGTTGCTTTGTACACCCAATTGACTTTAACTTATGGCAACCCCATGTGACAGAGTAGAACTGCCATATAGGGTTTTCTGGCTATAATCTTTACAGAAGATTACCAGGCCTTTCTTCCAAGGTACTGCTGGGTGAGTTTGAACCATGAACCTTTTGGTTACCAGCTGAGTGTAAACCAGGCCTTCAAAGCAGTTCTTTCTGGTTTGACCCCCTGCTGAGAATTTGCATTTCCAACCCAGCTATGCTGAATCAGAATATACATTTTAACAAGCTCCCTGGGTATGGTATGCAGTGTGTATCTAGGGTGGAAATGCAAATTCTCAGCAGAGGGGTCAAACTGGAATGAACCTGTTTGAAGCCCTGGTACAAACTGTACCACCCAGAGACCTTCCACAGGGTATAGCTGCGGACTATAAAACCACTTAGCTACAGTCCAGCATTGCCTCCTAAGCAGCAGGGTGTCCCACTCAGTGTTGGATTGCTCAATAAGCAAGGTAAGCACAGGCTTACTTGTGCTTATTTACTAATCTGCAGTGAACAATTTCATACTTTTTCACTACATCAAAGATTTCTGCTTCTAGGTATGGCTGGCATCATCTCTCCCAACCCCATAGCACCTTTCTACAGAATCAAAGCCTCTTTTCAAATTTCTAATCCCAGTAGGCACAGGTAAGCATGGCTTACTTGTGCTTACTTACTAATCTGTAGGGAACAGTTTCACATGGTGATGCATTGAAAAATGTAAAATTTCACTGCTGTTGTTGTTATGTGAGGTCAAGTCGGACCCGACTCATAGTGACCCCTTCCTTGGATTTCGGAGGCAGTATCACTATGGAAGTGGATTGCCCAACCTTCCAAGAAGTGGCTGGTGGGTTTGAACTGCCAGTTTTCTGGTTAGCAGTCAAGTGCCTTAGGCACTATGCTACCAGGGAGCTCCCACTAGAGATTAGTAAGTAGTAAACCTTACTTATTGGATAATCTGCCCCGCCCACACTCTCAGTGTAGTTATCTGGCCCCTTTTGTTTTGGTGTCATCCTTTTTGGTGTGTGGGACAAGGATCCAAAGACCTGGCACTTTTGGCTACTCTTTTTTTCACTGTCTATGTAAGTAATAAACTGACTCTGAAAGTGGCTCATTTCACCAGCCAGGTCAGTCAGAATTTAGACTTGCTTGATGCTGTGTGTTCTGGGCACCCATCCTATTGCTTCTTTTATAGTTTCTCCTGCTTAAAAAAAAGAAAAGAAAGTTAAATGAAACAAAACAAAAACTTTAGGGAATATGATCCTTTATATTGATGTGGCGCTTTACAAGACTCTTTCACATGCATTTCTTTCTCACCAGGTCATATTACTATGTTAACAATGAGAAAGCTCAAGCCCACTGTGGTGGTTAAGTTTGTTTCAACTTGGCTGGGCCTGGTTGAGTGGCTGGGCAGCTCGATGTAGTATTCCCCATTATGAGACTGGTAATCAACTCCATGGTGAAATCTACTGTGAGCAGTTGAGTAGCTGTCTTTGGGGGTATGTGGTCTGTTTCCCATATATAAGAAGCAGCTTTGGGAATGGTCTGTAGCTTATGGGATGCTTGAACCCTACACTGTAGCGGTGTCAATGTTCAGTAGTAGCTTGCCATGCTCTGCCAACTTTGGGACTTTCAATGGACTTGAATTAATGCCCTGCTGTGTGGCTTGGTAGCATCGGTACTGTGCCATTTTATTTGTCGACCTTGGGCTTGAGCCTCACAGCCAGTAGCTGCCTGAGTGAAGAGGCCTCCAGCTTCAGTGAGCCAGGAGCAAGAGGCAGAGCTGAAGCCCAAGGTCAAGGGGCTTTCACACAGCCCCTAGAACCTGGCACTTGGAACTCAGACTTAAAGCCTCCAAACTAAGAGAATAAACTCCTGTCTGTTAAAGCCATCCCATGTGTGGTATTTTCTATTAGACAGGCACAGAGGTAACCAGAACACCCACATAAATAAGTTGTGGCAAAACCCAGTTCTCAGGGCCTGAAACCCCATTCTTTATCCACTACATGTACCACACTTTTGCTCCAATTGGTCAGGGACAAGTACTGGGCCTTGAAATTTGTTAGGAGATTCTCCCAGATGATTCTACTTTATATTTGTTTACAGTGAGCATGTATTACTCTA